TGAGCTCGAGCTCGAGCTCGAGCTTGCGGCTCAATAAGATTAACTCAAGAGCTCGTTAACGAGCATAGCTCAAGCCGACTCAGCTTATTTGAACCCTTACTTCATATCGTGGAGCAATGAGCTCTTCTATGCACACCATTATAACTCAAGAAATTGTGTAACCCTTTCTCATTTGACATCCCCTACATTCAAAATCATTGTCGGACACGACCACCGATCACCACCACAAGAACTGTCGCCACCTCTGGTCAACTTTGACAGAGACCACCGACCACCTCCTCCGCCTGCTGATCTTCACCTCCGGCCGTCGTCAACCTCCTAGTGTTTGCCTCTGCAGCTCTACTTGTCGCTTCTTGCAGTAAAAGTAATTAAATTTTTCAATGGCCAAGGGATTTGAACTGATGACCTCAGGCAATTAAAACCAACCAGTTGTCAACTGAACTAAAGAACATTTATTATACAATATAGACTACAATTTCATGCATGAAATAAAAAATAATAGGTATGTCCTTCATCATTATGCAAACGAATACGCATGCATGAAATAAAAAATTGATTGATTTGACGACAGAGCCAAGCTCAACCTAACGATCTCACAGGATCCTAGGGTAGGCGAGCGATGGACAGAAGTATCATTGTCTTATTGTACGAAACACGCCCACCTCCATTTGCACTGCACAAGGTGGGGAATCTCTCGCGAAGAGAATTCTCCACAACTAAGAGTTCAAAGACTAAAGGAATGTCTTCATTTTCTCAGTCGATGAGGTTCAAAACTCTATCTGAATGAAACCATCGATATAAACAGCGAGATTAGACAAACCCCGTCTTTCAGATTTTTGGTTCAGAAATGAAAATGGTAGGTTTTGCTTTTAGATTCTTAGGGGAAACACAAAGCTCCTAGTCCTATGGGGTTTCCCTTAAGCATAAAACAAAATCCTAACATAGTTCCTCTAACATCCATGCCTGCAGGCCCTAACAAAGGAAATTGCAAGAGTTTATATGATTTCTCACCATTGTGAAAGTTGAGGGCTCGTTCTCTGGGCTTGTCCAAGCTCCAGCAATGTTTCAGTGAAGCGCTGACGAGGTTCACTTTGCTTCTTCCCAAAAAAATGAAGGAGCTCTCCTCTAAGAGGAGAGTCTGACGGTGTGCTTAGCTTCGGCGAAGTTTTAGCAATCCTTCCCTAAAGCGTGAAAAAGCTCCCTTTTGTCATAGAAGAGTTGATGCCTCGCTTCTTCGTTAGCACAGCTCATCTTCAAGTAAATCTCCTCATGCACTCAAAGAAAATGGTGGAGGAAGAGGAAGAGGATTTCTTGTGGGAGAAGACCAACAAATAGAGAAAGTAGAAGTTGTAGTGAGCAAGCCCTACTCCTTACCTTGCTTAGTGTTCTTCATCTCAAGGGAAACCAGCTTCCTAGCTTTTTTTTAGGACTATAAAGGAAAAAGGAGCTATAAGGAAGAAGACCGAAGACTAGGCCAACCGATAGAAGGAGGAGGAGAAAGGGTGAAATGAGCTCAACCAACATAAGCCTAGCCCCTCCAAATTTTCCCCCTCTTATTGCAAAAAATGGTTTGCCACTCCTCCTAGAAGCTTCCAAAAGATGTATCATGATCCTACTTTGCATACCTAAGGCAAATCTTTATATATCGCAGGGAAATCCACCTTTTCGGCTACCTAAGGTAGGGTGCTGGGACAGAATCTTGAGAAAAAGTAGAGCATAAATTGGCTGGTACCTAAGCGCTACGACCCTGGCGCCCTGGCGCTATGTCCTTGGCGTTGGGGCGTCAGGTCTGGCGCCTAGCTCTGAGTTCCCAGTAGCTTGGTTTTGGGCTGTTGATTTTGTACTTGGATCAAGTGCATAGGCATCAATGGCCTAGTGCTTAGGCATTGGGTTTGAAGCCTACTTTTCGGCTCTTTGGTTTGAAAACTACATGTTTCCGACAGCTTCGTGGGCCTAATTTCCAGTGGGCTGGAGCCTAGGTGTTGGACCTAGCGCCTACTTTATGTTAGCTCAATTTTAAGCTCTGTGGGGGGCTGTTTTGAGTGCCTAGGTGCTAAGACTAGCAACTAAACACCGAGGGTTAGAGCCTAACCGTCGGTCTAGCCTAGAAAACCCGATATATATCGAAAGCATCTGACGAAGGATTTTTTTTATTCGTAAGCTATGAAAGACTAAATATGATTAAAATATAGTACCATAAGTCCAAATATGAACATCTTTATGGATCTCAATCGAAGGATTTCTGTGCCAATGGGCACTCCAAAATGTTGTGCAGGTATGACGTTCTAAACAATAATCTTCCTGGAAATGCCCACGGAAAGGCTCAATGGATTCCTTTGACCACGGGAGGCTCCAAATAACCGAAATAATGTCTTCAAACATTAGAACGGACATCAGACACGTCCCATATCATAATTAATGCCACCAAACGGTGGACTCTCCCTGATAAGGCTAAGTCATCGTTGACCTTGGTTTCATGACCCAAACACGTATAAGGAAATCCCAGATATGTGTCTTAGGCTACAAGACACAACAAGTGAATAGTAATTCATCGTGAGGCATTCAAGCAGACACCCTACACTCATTACATCAAAAAATTGATGCCAACACCTACATTTCCTTTCTCTCTCTTTTGTTAGCAGAGATTGTTTGGAAAGGGAAGTATCAAATTGGTTAAATATAAATACGGTCTCTTTAAAAACAAAATTGGGCGTGAAAAATTACTATTACTAACTTTTAAAAGTGAAATACATCTTTAAATACAAACTTTTTCAATAACAAACTGTTAAAAACAAATTTTAAATACATAAGAATAGTGTGATATGCCAGTAAATTTCCCTTCAAATAAAACCTTAAAACATTGAGTTAATTAAAAGTGATTTATACAAAAATAGTAAACAAATTTTTTAAAAACAATTTATATTGAAACTAAACATCAATCATTATCAATTAGAATGGCCTACAATATTTGGTTATAACATCATAAAACAATTCATTTAGAAGTTTAAGAAAATTAATTCACTCAAACCTCTCATTCATTGAACTATGCTTCTCTTTGCTTTAAGTAAAGAAAAATATGAAAAGGATTTAATCCAATCAAAAGTGGTGTGGTCTTTGCCTATAATGATAGTGATAGTGCTATGCTGCTGAATCAATGTTGTCTCTCTCAATCATCTTTTTCTTTATCATAAGATAAGCATTACCATTTCATATTTTTAGAATACGAATATGATTTTTATGTATTTACATATCTGAAATTTATATTTATTTGTCGAATAGTTTTGTGTCTCTTCTCACAACTATTGCATAACATTTACACCGAAAATGAATAGATATAGGGAGATTCATATGCATAACAATAATACGACCTATTTTATAATAGATGGATTTACGTACATACGACACAATTATTATGTATTTACATATCAAACGTCAAATTCTTAATGTTAGATAAGTAAATAAATAGAAGTTATGATATGTATGTAAATGCCTCTTTATAATAGCAATAATGACCTTCTTAAAGTTGAAAGGGGGCATTTACATACATACCGCACAATTCTTGTGTATTTACATATCGAACGACTAAACTTCTATAATTACATACATAATCCTCAAATCTTTAATATCATATCATAGTTGTCACTGTTATTAACTTTGTTGATTGAATTACATTTTTTTTCATGTATAGGTGTCAAATTTTATGTTTTAGACATGTAAATGCATAAGAATTTTAGGTCATTTATTTTTAGAGCAAGTGAATAAGATACATAGTAAATTGAATATACAATAAACTTGCATATCTTGCAAAAAAGTCCTTTGTTGTTGGTAAATTGCTTGAACTCCTTTTTTGCCATATAATACATATTAATCAACATCAAAATTTGCTTCTTTGTTATAGCAAATTTAGGTTCTACAAGTCTATTGGCATTGCCAAATGCCAAAATCAACTTAATTAGTTACAAAAAAAATTAAAATAAATGCATAAACAAACAATATTAAAGCCATAAATAGATAGGTAGGAAGAAAATAACACATTAGCATTTCCCTGCATTTAAAAAAAGATTAACAACGTTTCTTTTCAATCAAACTATTATCAGAGCTTACTTGTATTAATTAATAGTCCGGTTTACTTCCAACGACCATAAATATATGCTATTTTTTTGTTAGGGTTTCTTGTTATCATGTTCGAAAATATGACCCGACATAACGTATTAAATTATAGAAAAAAGAATATAGAATAAAGTGTTGAAATGAAAATGTCACAACTCTAATAAAATAAATGATCTAAATAATCAAACAGTTATGATAGTCTAAGAACAAGGGTAGTAAGGTAAGCTCGAGGGAGAGGAGTAAGGTTCGCAATCAAATGAAGCACTTAGGTTCAAGTCTAACCTGAAAATGTCTCATATCATATATGTATGATCCAAATCTAACCCATTTATTAAACAGACCAAATAGTCTAAACTAAAATCAGATTGGTGTTCAATCCAACTAACCAAATCCAACCAAACTAACCTATTTAACATAAAACAAAATAGCCAATCAAGCCACGTTCAAGCGAAAGTAGGGTTTTGCCAATAAATCTCAAGATTTTAAATCAATTTAGGATTAAATTATTGTCAAGATCGAGTTTGGGAGTCAATATCAACTCGACTAAGAAATTAAACGATCTACGGTCCTCAACCCAAAAACACTCGAAAGTTAATCATCTTAATTTTAATTTTAATTTTTTGAATTGTGTTTTAATTGAGCGGTTGATTCAGGTCAATTTTTTGAAAAATTTTATTATGTCCGGACGAAATAGGTGCGAATGCGTCCGAATTTTGTGATATTTTGTGGCATTAATGGCTCCATTTTTTAACACTGCCAAAAGCATTAAAGTAAAGACCCATTGTTTTTTTCTATCTAAAACTTTTAGGTGTTATATTTATAAATAAGGTCATATATATATATATATATATATATATCACTCTTTTCTTCATACTGTACTATTAAAAAAAAGCAGAAATTATACTGTTTGGCAACAAAGCATTTGAGGATGAAATCAACTGCTTGGCATTTTCCTTTCGATCAGGCTAATCACACAAGCTCCATCTATATAAGTGCTCCGTCCTCCATTAACGAAAGGAGGAAGGAGAAGAGAAAGGATGGCGGAGAAAGCCGAGGCGATCGCCGGCGATGCAGAGAAAAGGGTTATGGTGGTGGCGTTCGACGATAGCGAGCACAGCATATACGCGCTGCACTGGACTCTCCGCCACTTCTTCGCCGGCGCTCACGGCGGCGGCCCCCTCACAGATGTTTATAAACTCCTCATCTTGCACGCTGCCGCCGGCCCTTCTCCGGTCATCGGCCTCGGAGGCCCCGGTGATTTATTACCCCTGTTTTTTTAGGGTTAAATTTGGGGGGTTCTGTTTTTAGCTCATTTCCTGTCTAACATAAAAACACAGTTTATTTTTTGCACTAAACTCAGAACGAGACTCGAATCCCGTGGTCTGCGTTTCCAGATAAGCAACTTATTTGGATAAACACGTGCTGCTTTAAACAAATCTTAAGTCGAGTTCAAGCATACCTTGACTCCACTCATTAGCTCGTGAGGCGGCTTGTTTGAACAAATAACAAATATAAATAAATCAGATTAAATTAAAATTTGAGACTTTTTTTCTTCAAATTATTTAAAAATATTTATAAATAATTTTAAATATGGCACGACTAATTGTAAATAATGGTTTTGACATGATAAAATGAGAAAATCACTCTAACAAAGAAAATAGTGGACAAATTTCAAAGAAAAATTTATATTTTAAAATATTTTTAATAATTTATACTTAAATATTATATTATTGTAGCATAGATAAAAATCATTTTGGAATGAGGCTTTTTATTTTTATTTTTTCAATTTTTATTTTTAATTTTTTCATATATGAGTGCAGGAGTTGCTGCTGTTCTTCCCAAAGTAGAGTCAGAATTGTGGAAAATTTCAGATCAAGTGATTGAGAAGGCAAGGGAGATATGTGTCAGTAATTCAGTAAGTTCGTCCTCTTAAATATATATATTATAATGAATTTTAGGCCACATTGAATATGGTCTTATATATATAGGTTTTGCTTTTAGA